ATTGTTTGTCTCATGGCCGGTGTCTTTGTGGAATTCACAGTATTTTCGCGGAGTCCCTCCTCCTAGGATCAGATTTCATTCGAGGTGGCCATCGGATGAACCTTTCATTCTGGACCTCATGGAGGACCTGTGGAATAAAGGTGACCAAGGGTGGGAGTCACGCTGGCACATATCGAGGCTGTAACTCTTGTGGCAGGGGTCCCAGGCGATCTTTGACATTGCCTTTTCTCTTAGGAGAAGGCTTTCTTCCTTTTCTCAAAGAACGACCTCCCCTCGAGGATCGATCATGTTTTTTCTCCTTTCTAGGGCTGCGGTCCCTCTTCTTCTTTTCTCCTTTTGTCGATGTCGATCCTCCTTTTAGGTGAAGGGCCTCCTCGCCATTGATGTATTTTTTGGCTTTTACAAGTAGCTAGGCCATAATGGCTTGAAGATTTTTTACGATTGAGAAGAGGAGATCCTTGGATTGAATTTCGAGCCTAGACATGAAAGTGGTTAGTGCGAACTTGTCGTCCACACTTTCTACCTTCAGGCATTCTTGGTGAAACATTGTACATAGCTCTGGAGGGACTTATTGGGCCCCTGTTTGACGCCTAAAAGATGGTAGGATGAATTCCTGTATGTTCTTGCTCCGATGAAGTGCGATACAAATTGTATAAATAGCTCCCTGAATGAGGAGATTGATGCTGGTTGTAATCTATTAAACCAAGCAATTGCCGACCCTTTAAGGGTGATGGTAAAAGCTCAGCAACGAATTGGGTCTGTGTACCCCTAGAGTTCCATCTGATTTTTATAGGAATTCAAGTGGTCAATTGGATCTTGGGTCCCGTTGAATGCCTCTATCAATGCAACTGGAATTTCTGGGGGAGGGGAAAGTGAAGGATCTTTGGAGCGAATGGTGACTCAGTTTGCTGGACCAGAGCGTCCATGGTGTCAAGGGTTTTCCCCTTAACCACTTCTTTCATGTTACCTAGGTCTTGTTGTAGCTCGTGCAATCTTTGCTCCAAAAAGTGATCCATGACATCTGGCGGGGGAAGGGGTCGGTCTTCTCGATAGGTGTCTCTGGCCCAACTATGGGCTTCATCTTCAGTGTGTTCCTCTAGATGTCTCCTCCGATGATTTTTCCCAGAGTGGTTGCGCTCATGAAGCTTCGTGACTCTATTAGGCAGGGCTTGGCGTTCCTAAGGACGAACATAGTGTTGTGCCGGAAGTAGAAGAGGCCCCTAATGGGTTGGCAGGAACTGCAAAAACTGGTGTGTCTGTATTCACGTCATCAACTCTTGGTTCTTCTTTATCAATTGCATCATGGTTTAACAATAGTTTTCCAATTCGTTGAGTGGAGGGAGGTCTGCCGCTAGAGGGTGGTTCTCGACGTCTACTTTGGGGGCGTGAAATTTTGGTGAACTTGGTGATTGACATGAAATTTACTCATATTTCGAGTCAAAACCATCAAACTAAAAAGGATGTAAGAAAACTCAAAGGAAAATGATGAAAACCATTTTCCACAGACGTCGCCAAATTGATGGTGCCTGAAAATACTAGCCCAAGTTCATTACCTTGACCAGTTGGGCGGGAGGGGATGCAGAGTAAATGTCAAGAACGAAAATGAATAGAAAAGTAAGGAGAAATCCAAAACACAATGTACGTGGTTCTCCTTAGCTAAGGGACTAAGACTACGTCCACTGTAAGAGAGTCTCTTGCTCCTCGAGATTATATATTACTTGATTTTTGGTGAGCACAATGGTGTAGCTGGCTCAGGGCTTTTACAAGAACAATGTTTCAGGTAAGCTAGATTGTGTTAATGGCTCGAGAGTGCCAATGAAGGAGATAATCCTTTCTGTAGTGTAATAGTGTCCTATTTATACAAGTGATCCTTCTAGGGTTTCCTGAGGGTCTTTCTTCCTTTCTGTTGATTCTGTGGGCCCTCCACTTTTGTTCTGTAGTGACCTCTACCACACAACGCCACTGTGCCCACAAACTCTAAACAGTTATGCACATCAACACTCTCTGTACCAAGGAATGCGTGTTTGTTATGGGTGTTAGAAGTGGCCCCCTTGTCCTTTGGACACATGGCGCGGTGAGGGTGCTTTAAGATAGGCGTTGGGCCGAGCTTCTTTTTTCAAGCTGACATATGGCTGAGTTAGATTGGGGCTGGGTTGGAGTCCAGGTCCTCTGGTACCGTTGGGCCTTTCCTTTTGGGCTCAGTCCACTCTACTCTTGGTGTGGATAGGTTATGGGTGCTCCATTTGGGCTGTTACACAAAAAATGGTTTCCTGGACTCATTGGGCTCTTAGATTATGGTGACTTATACCCAAAATCCCATCATTATCAGAAGAAAACAAGAGAGAAAGCTGTGATTATGTATTTTCTCCCCTCATTTGTCAAAGTGAGGAAAGAAGATAAGTTTTCTCATAAGCTTTCCTTTCATTTTCTTTCTTCCTTTCCATACCAAAGATGGTCATTCATAGATGCATAAGATTATAGCAACGTAAAATGAGATTAACAGTTGGCTTAACTGTTATAATTCTCTCCGTTGAACCTTCAAGTTGCAGATTTTAATCTAAACGTTTCTTTCCTTGGAAAAGTGTCTGATCAATGGAGACTAAAAGAAATATTGTCATAATATTAATTGTGAGACATACAAGTTAACTTTACAAAAAAAATTATAATAAAATAAAATATGACAGTCATTTATTAAAAATGTATAATTCGTTATAAGTGATATATACTGTTTAGTACCGTGCCTTGTGTTATACATAAGTGTCAAATGTGTTGGGTTAAACGGTTACGTGTCAGGTTAAACGGGTGACGGGTGAAAAATATATAAACCCGTACACGACACGTTTAATAAACGGGTAACACGACACGACACGACTCGTTTAACCTGTTTAATTTTAAAAAATTTATATTAACAAAAATTAATATTTCGTTTTTTTTATTATCAATTGCACTTGTCTCAAAAAAGAGAAATTTTTAGCAAAATCTCATAAAAATAAGACTTGAAGGCTTAAATAAAAAAACAAGAGGTCATTGCTTTTTATTGACAACTCAACCCCCCCATCGCCCCTCATTTTTCAATGTGAGACAAAAACAAAAGGCATTGATTTGCCTTTGTTTTTGAAGTGCTCATCATATCCTTTCTTTTGTCTTTGAACTACTACTTTACTTTTTTTTTATTGATTTCTTTACTTCTTTTTTTCTTGTTAATTTTTTAAAATAATTTTTTATTTTTTATTATATTAATTTTATTGTAACGGATAAAGTGTGTTAAATAGTTTGACAGGTCTCATCCGAATACGATCCGTTTATCATTCAAACCCGTTAAGATCTTATCCAAACCTGCTTAATTTGTGTCGATTAATTGTATCGTATCGAATTTTGATAACCCTAGTTATACACACCAATTTTTTTTCCCCCCTTTTCGAGTAGGGTCATTCTAAAAATAAATAAAAAGTCACCGGAAGACCCAAGAAAAAAAAATGAGATAACTTTTGCAGATGGTCCGACGTCGTTTAAAGAATAGACCATTACCCAACAAAACTACAAAAGCTAGATACTTTTGGACTTATTTGCCGGTTGGAGTTCAAAAAAGAACAAAAAGACCGTCCCAATCATCAAATCCCAGATAAATAAAAAGAGTTAATTACAATTTATCCCCTCCAACTATGCACTATAATGTAATTAATTTTTTGTAGTTTTAAATATTGCAATATATCCCCTCTAAATTTCAAATAGACTAAATTAATTGACAGCATTGGTTGAAATATAAAGGTACCATTACACCATCTATCTTGTACATTAATATTTTTTTTTTCTTAACATAGTAATTCTATTAATAAAAAATAAGAAAACAAAAAGTCAAGATAAAAATACAGCCGTTCAGCCTAATATCAACACACTACACAAATGGTCAAAAATAAAAATAAAAAAATTTACTACACCACAACATGTTCACGTTCACTTTTGCCTCCACCTCCACCCATCACCAATGCACTAACACAGTAGTTATGTATTTTTAACAAAGTAGAGATCACAAAAACTTCTCAGTCTAATTTTCGTAATTTTTATAATCTAAAATTAATTATTGGAGTTAATTACAAAATATTTAAATTCAAAGGGGACTAGTTGTCAACATTAAAACTTAAAGGAGTAAATGACAACCTACCCAAAATTGAGAGGGACATTTTATAATTAACTCAAATAAAAATTAATTAGAAACGACTTCAGTTGCTGACGTGGCATTAACCGGTCTGAAGGGAATGTATGAAACAGATACATACTGATACAGAGAGAGAGAGAGAGAGAGAGAGAATATACAGAGGTGCGCGCACGTTAATCATCCCCTCGCGTTATTCATACATTCTCAAAACCCTTTAGATCCTAAAAAAAGAAAACCCTTCAATTTTGTTACGATTTCAGCATCACGTTCTACCATAATCGAATTGTTCAGTTGTTTCGTTTTCTATTGTGCCCTTGGATTGGAGCTAAACGAACTCAGATTCATAGGCCATGGCGAACTTTTTTCTTTTTCTTCGTATATTTGTCAAATGTAGGTAATGGTCATCGAGATAGTTTTATATGTCATCAATATGGATGTTCTAAAGTTTTTTTGACGCATAGAGATTTGGATATTGAAGAGCATTGGAAGGTTGGAAGTTGGAACGTGTGTATCAAAAAATTCTAGGGTTTTTATGGTTCTGTAGAAGTGAATTTGAGCTGTTTCAGAGCTGGATTTTCATCTGTATAAGTCAATGTGAATGACATTTCTGAGGTGTATTTGATTTGTTATTTGTTATGGTTTTTTGACCGAGTTTATGAGTTGGGAATCTGATATATGACAATGGGGTGGACTGTAGATGAATGAATTTTTTGTGCTGGAAAGACGATGAGTGGAATTTAGAAGTGATTAGTAGTTGTTTATGGGGTTGAGGAGGACGTTGCCTTTTTGTTCAAATGGGTTTCGGTTCTACGACTGGATTGCGCCTGATTTTATTGCAACTTGAATGGCTGCTTTGCAGAGGGCTGGTCTCGGTGAAAGAGACTCTGACCAGGTAGTCTTTACTCCCACATAGTAACATACACACACACACACACACACAATGCTTGAGTATCTAATAAGGCAGAGTTCAGACAAAAAAGAAGGTAATATAACATACCTTCAAAAAAAACTTTCAGAGAAAAGTTTCTTTGACATTTACAGTTCTCGTCATTATCTAGTCTTCCTTGGGATTAGTTTCAAAATTGTAGTTTTACGTGATATTTTTTTTGTAGAATATTACATCATATTTTGAAAATATTTGTGCCTTAATGAGGGGATGAATGAAAGGTGATTGGAATATGCTCTTGCATGGACATGTTAGCCTGACATAATTTTTATTTCCTTTTGTTGTAATTTACAGGCCATTACAGCACTTAAGAAAGGAGCATATTTGCTGAAGTATGGACGCAGAGGAAAACCGAAGTTCTGCCCAGTTCGACTTTCGGCTGTAAGTTTCCTTGTAGACATATCAAATATAAATCATATGAATCGTTTTTGCAAAGTCTTTGTCTGTTTCTTGTATTGTATGCATATACACATGTGAACAAAAGCAATTTTTAAATCATTCAGCAGTTTGGCTAAGTTGGATGCTGTGCAAAAATGAAACTAATCCATTCTGTGACAGTGGAAGATACATCTTTGCTTCTAATTTGGGGTTAATCTTCTTCCTTTTGTGTTTGTCCAAAAGGAAAACGCTCCAACTCTGTATCTATTGGTTTTTATTCAATTGTAATGCCTCATTCATTATGATCATCGACACTCTTCTGAATCATAGAATATATGAAGAGTTAGAATGATGGGAACTTCTTCTCAATATACTCAAAAATGAAAGGTGCAAGATGTAGAAGAGACAAAAACAGTGCCACGATATACAACTGTCCAAGTGTTGGGGCTTCCTATATCACATTTGCAGTTTCATCTGATGAGACCACCCAGCGTCATATGGATTAGCTGCTGCACACCATAAGTGCATTTTTAACGTCTCACGATTTACAACTTCGACATAAGCATATATCTAGAGCCTTATAGTCACAACTAACCCAGTGCACTACATTGGGATATTCATTTTTTAGATAAAAAACTCGAGCTACATAAATTGCCTTCTTAAAATCCATCTGATACGAGGGGCTTTTCTAGAAAAACCTAATCCTGCTGGTTTAGAGGGTAAACAAAGTTGGTCCATTTATATTTCTGCAAAATCCTCTGTCTTTAGTTGTATCCCTTTTTGAGCAGCTATTTACAAATTCTCACCATACTCTCTACCTCCTCGTTATATGAGTTTTTGGGTACTGATGCAGGTCAATCTTAGGAAACTTAGGATCCTGCTGCTTTAAAGGTTTCATTGTGGTTATAAAGTAAAAGATAGCTTGTATTTTGAAGGTTTTAAAAGGACAACAACACAGTAATGGTTTCAGGTATTGAGGAAAGTGTGAATTGGGTTAGTTTAGAATATAGTAGGTTGCTGGAGTTGCAAGGATTTACTTGCTTCAAATTGTGATGTTTGAGTTAAAATTGAAGACCTAAAAGGAAGGGGAAGGTTGTTTGATGGGTTGAGATAAGTGTTGCTATGAGGTTGTGAAAAGTAATTCAAAAGAGGAAAAAATTGGTTTGCAGTAGGTAGTACATACAGATTTATAAAGTGTGTTGAAGAGAGAGAAATTATTCAACTTGGTAGACCCTAATTAAGCATAGTGTATGTGTTCACACACCTAGGATTTAGAATTGGACTTCAAGTAGGACATATTTTTGGCCATCATAAGTTGAGCCAACTGCATGCACCATAGTTTTGCTATGGATGCACTTGTGAAGGTATCTTCATTGTATGTATGAAATTTACAAAAAAGGCCATAAGCCAGCAGATGCGGTAGCAATTGCTTGATTAGATCTGTCATTTCCACTTTTGAATCCTAGAGCCACGGTTTTGGGTCCAATGAGAACTAGTAATTCTTTCGGTCCAAAGGAATGTGTCCTTGGTAGCTAATAGTAACTTTATTGTGTGTTATTTAAGTTTGTTTGTTTATTTTAAGGCACTCAGACTTATTTATATTCCATTTTTTTTTGCTGCCAAGGATATGTTGATAAGTTTTAGGCTTCTTGGAGTGTGGTTACTGGGTTATAAATGAGGTCACGCCATGTTATCCATATCTGATTGGGGGCTTAAGTAATCTAAAATAGTATAGAATACTCTTTGTAGTCATAAAGAGTTAGTTTCCTAATTTCTAAGACCATGGAGTGATAGGAGAGTCTCTTGGCCTGTAAGTGTAATTACGTTGATTCAAGGGAGTTGATGTACAAGAATTTGTGTTTGCATGTCAGTTGCCTAACCCGCATGAGGTTTGATTTAGATTCTTCTTTGTCCTCTACATATGCTTCTTTTTCAAATTTCTGCAACTCTAATCCACTAAAAGGCCTACACCAGATTCAATTCACCTTTCTGTCATCTATACACAACTTATCTCACCAAGTCCAATCATTCCCATTAACGCATGCTCAACTTATACCCTGAATAATTCAGATATGTTCAAAATTATTTCTCTCGTCATTGTCCACAATGTCTCTCTTTTGTTGTTTGTTTTCAGCCCTGAATCAATTTCTACATGTTATACTTTCTAAAACTCTTTAAGCCCACACTTTTACCAAGCCATTTAGCCACAAAACAGCTATAGTCTGCCCCTTAAGAACTCTTTCATCTGCTACCTACATCAAAAATTGTCACATGGTTATGAATATACATTGTATGGCATGAGTGTGAGAGAACAGTCTCATTCAAGCTCTGAGGCCAAAGGACAGTTTTTTTTTTGAAAGAGCCAAAACTACAGTTGGAAACTAGGAAAACAAAAAGAAAAGAGTGTGAGGGCTGATTGCAGTTTTGATTTGTACCTAACAGTTAAAAGAGAAGTTTGGTTTTAACATTTAAACTTTAAGAAGAAAGGGCAGGAGATAGTCGTCAATTAAGCAAGCAAGAAGAATATTTTAGGGATTTATTTTAGTCTGTTCGAGGGTTGTCAGACAGTAATCCATGAATAGTAGCTTTGCAATTCTTGTGAGGATGGGAATGCTATCTTGGATAGTTTTGTGGGTTTTAGCTATTGTGTAGAGTATTGGAAGAAGGAAAGATTGGCTTGTTTAAGTTTGCTTTCAGGGTTAAAACAAATGTTTATCTGATTCCAACTATAAAATATAGAAGGGGAAAAAAAAGAGGGAAACACTAAAAATTGCATTTGTGAAGTTCTAGTCAGGTTAGCTGCTTTTGTGCTACAGTATTAGCTGATTTGAATTACTAGATTGCGAGGTAGCAGGTGTTTTTATTCGACAGTGTATGGAAGTGGTCTACTCTTGGTTTTCATGTTGTGGGGGAGATTTTATTTTTTTAAAGGGAAAAATGCAAAAGTTAGCTGTTAATTTTGCATATTCATGAGAGGAAGTATAACTATTGACTATGATAGTAATGACCCAATAATCAAAATTCATCGACCTGATTACTTGTCTTTAGAGGGCAGGGTTCGTCTCTAAGTTGAATTCTCTTCCTCATCTCTTTAAAGCAATTGCTCCCTATGAATTAAGGCCAGACCAACTTCATGTGGTTGGGATCAAACAAATGTTCATTGGATAGAAGAGAAAATTATTATCTGAATCCCTTCATTTGTTTTCATATGAGGAAAATTAACTTGTTTTGACAATAATGACAAGGGTCTTTCTGTCAATGGAATATTGAAGGAAGAATAGTATTGACCTTTGAAAGGAGATAGTTCAGTTATCTACATCCTTGCTTGTTTCAAAAGTAGCTAATGCTGCATTGGCAATTGTAATTGGTTTAATTAAAATTAGGTAAAAATCTCGTTTCCATAATTTGCAAATGTTTAATCCCAAACCAAATAAATGTGTTGTAAAGTGCATATTCCTTGTTGTACTATCCTCATAGTAGTCTCTCTCTCTATATGAAGCGACATAAAATTAATTGCAAAAAACTTAATATTTGCAATATTAATAAAAATATTTGCTGTTGATTATTAAAAAACAAAAAAAAAAGTAGTCTCTCTCCCTCTATTATAAATCTTACAGTTTTCCTCACTATGTAATTATGTATTATGTAGTTCTGGTTATATTTAAGTTGTTACTGATACCAAATTCTGATGACGAAATTGTTGTTGTTTATAATAGTTGGGAAATACTTGTAGGATGACATTAATTAGGATACCGTCTGCAAAGGTTTGGCAGACTGATGTGGTAATACAACTACTGAACCTTTGTTATCATTACACATCATTGTATGATTTATGAGTTGACGTTGTGATATTATCTGATTCATAGTATAGAAATTTTCGTATGGTCCCCCGTTAGGTTCACCATAAACTAGCATTTTACATGACTCGGTGCAATATAGGCATCTAGTCCTTGTGATTTTTTTGAGTATTTTCTACCACATACTTTGTTTGGTCTATTGCGAAATGAATGGATGAAGCTGAGATATCATTAGAAAAAGCCAAATTGTTTTTGTTTTTTCAGTGGAAGTGCACTCATGATGCGCTTTGTCGTTTAATCACAAGGAAGTAATATTGAAATTTTGGTGGAGTGAGCCTGGATGGTATCCAGACTAGGCTATAAATCTTTATGTTCTCAAGCATGTCATGCTATGGAACTAGGTCCATTTGAAATCTTCATTTCCTATTTGTAAAATGGTGTTTCTTTCTATAATATTAAAGTATGTTCTTTTTGGCATCATTTCAGGACGAATCTGCATTGATATGGAACTATGGCAAAGAAGAGAAACAGCTTGAATTACGTCATGTTTCTCGGATCATTCCTGGACAGCGTACTGTAAGTTTGCTTAATTCTTTCTATTTATTTCTTGAAAGGGTCACTAAAAAAGTAGGATCCTTTTCTTGCACCATTTTTTCCTTTGCAAGAAAAGGGTGTTGAAGATTGTGCATGCGTGTGTGCGCCTATGAAACACCAAAATTAACAGTCACCCATTGTGTGTTGTCATCTGCAGGACCATACACTTCATGTGCATGCTCATGGCAGATTTATTTCGCTTAGGTTTATCTCTCTTCAGTTAAAAATTATAATCTCATGAGCAGTAGCCCCCTCATGCTGGTGAGACTTTGGAGAAAGCACCTCCAAGTACTATTGACTGGACAAAAAGAAGTGTTTGCATATAATAAGAAATAATGAAATTGAGGAGTGAGAATCAGAAAACAACATAGAAAGAAGAGAGGAATGCTCTAAAAGAATATAGCAAAAAGGAGAGAAACTCACTATATTTAAGATCTATTTGTAGGCAACTCTAAAAAACTCTAATTGACAATTACCAAAGATAATACAAGAATAATAGTTATATCATAAATTAGAGCACAAATCTAATGAAGATGATGAATTCCTTAATGCATATTACTAAACTGCCTTGTTTACCATTTTTTATTTTTTTGTTTTGATAAGTGTTATCATTTACGTAGAATAATCAATGCCTTAGTTCACATATATAATTCATGGACGATCTTCTAGCAACCTGGTTGTGGCTATCTCCTTTAAAGTAGCAACCACCAAAATTGCTGTCCACTATGCTAATGTGCCCTATATTATGTAAAATGGGTGTCTGCTGCACTAATTGCATCTGATGTCTGGTAGGTGGTTACTCTTTGGGTTAGTCATCCCATTATAATGGCTTATCCAAACAAACTGATAGGCTTTTATTTATCCTTCAGAAAGGTCTTCACAACCATATGGCTGGGTTGGTTGAATTTTTTCTAGGAGATTTTTGTATTTCTGGTTTTAGTCCAACGTGAATCTTCAATTCTTCATTCTTGCCGTTGTAGGCCTACATCGTCGTTTTTAATAAATTTGCCACTTGTTCTAGTTTTATTGCAGCATTGAAGAAATTTAAGCATTTGACTTATTTGAGGGTCACTTTCTCTTCCAGGCAATATTCCAGCGGTACCCTCGGCCTGAGAAAGAATATCAATCTTTTTCTCTCATATACAATGATAGGTCCTTGGATTTGGTGAGTGGTTCATTGGTTATCCATTAGCACACAAAATGTGCTTAGTGCCAAAAGAACACGTGGATAATAAAAAGAATAAGCACTTCTAATCATTACATTTCGAAAGATAGAAAAATTCTTTGTCAAAGTAATTGTTTCTTAAATGAGTTATTTACTTTTGGTAAAAATACATGAATGATTAGCTTCTTTGTTGACCATTTTTGACACCAGATTCTTATGTGGACAGATATGCAAGGATAAGGATGAAGCCGAGGTTTGGTTTGTTGGTCTAAAGGCATTAATTGCACGTGGTAGCTATCGCAAAGTGAGAAGCGAAGCAAAAAGTGACAGTATATCATCGGATAGTCCACATGCTCAAAGAATCTCTCCCTCAAGTGCCTCTTTGGTGAGTAGCAATCTCTTATTTCTTCTGTGATTTTTAAGGGGGTTCAACTTAGCATTTTCAGCTAATTTACATCTTTAATTTTCTTTTATGTGAATTACCTCAGGATCAAGGAGATACTCGAACAGGGTCTCTTTCTCATAGCAGATTGGGACAAGCATTTTCTGACATTGTTTCGTACACTGCCGCAGCCAAGAGTTATGCTCAGGCTGAAGCAGTAACCTATTCTCACAGCTCTCAGTCTGTTGGGGGTGTGGACAACTCAAATGATCGAAGTTCTGCAGCAGATACAGTTCGAGTTAGTTTATCCAGTGCTGTAAGTTCATCAAGTCAGGGTTCTTGTCATGAAGATTTTGATGCCTTGGGTGATGTTTTGATTTGGGGGGAAGGCACTGGTGATGGGGTGTTGGGTGGTGGTGCGCTTAGAGTGGGTAGAACATCTATCACAAAAATGGATGCTCATTTACCTAAGGCACTGGAGTCAACCATGGTACTTGATGTTCATGGTGTTGCTTGTGGTTGTAGGCATGCTGCCTTAGTCACCAAACAAGGGGCGGTATTCACTTGGGGAGAGGAGTCCGGGGGGAGGCTCGGGCATGGAGTAGAAGCAGATGTTTCCCAGCCAAAGCTTGTTGACACTCTTAGTGGCAAAAACATTGAAATGGTAGCATGTGGAGAGTATCATACCTGCGCTGTCACACTTTCTGGAGATCTATATACGTGGGGTGATGGAACTTACAACTCTGGTTTGCTTGGGAATGGAAGTGAAGTCAGTCATTGGATCCCTAAGAAAGTGAGTGGGTTCATGGAGGGTTTGCGTGTTTCATATGTCTCTTGTGGACCTTGGCATACAGCTGTTGTGACATCTGCCGGCCAGTTGTTTACATTTGGAGATGGAAGTTTTGGTGCCTTAGGCCATGGAGATACTCGCAGCACCAGTATCCCAAGAGAAGTGGAAACTTTTCAAGGATTGCGTACAGTGAGGGTTGCTTGTGGCGTTTGGCACTCTGCTGCAGTTGTTGAAGTAATGAACCATACTTCTAGTTCTGGACCATCTGATGGTTCTTTATCTGGAAAGCTATTCACCTGGGGGGATGGGGATAATGGCCGGCTTGGACATGGTGATAAAGAACCTAGACTAATTCCTGAGTGTGTAGCTGCATTGGTTGATGTAAGTTTCTGTCGAGTGGCCTGTGGACATAGCCTGACAATTGCTCTTACAACCTCGGGCAGAGTGTATACAATGGGAAGTACTGTTTATGGACAGTTGGGGAGTCCTGTAGCTGATTGGAAAATTCCCACATGCATTGAAGGTAACATTTCTGACAGTTTTGTTGAAGAAATTGCCTGTGGTTCCCATCATGTTGCAGTTTTGACTTCGAAAACTGAGGTTTATACCTGGGGAAAAGGTGCAAATGGGCAACTAGGCCATGGAGACAATGAGGACCGAAAAACACCTACACTGGTTTGCTTTTTGAAAGATAAGCAAGTGAAGAATGTAGTCTGTGGTTCGAATTTTACTGCTGTTATATGTCTGCACAAATGGGTATCTACTGCTAACAATTCTGTTTGCTCTGGTTGTCATAATCCTTTTAATTTTAGAAGAAAACGACACAACTGTTACAACTGCGGGCTTGTCTTTTGCAAAGCATGTAGCAGTAGGAGATCCCTGAGAGCTTCCTTGGCCCCCAGTATGAACAAGCCATTTCGCGTCTGTGATGATTGTTTTACAAAGCTGCAGAAGGCCATGGAACCTGTATCTGTCGAAAGAATTCCTAAAGTTAGAAGTGCTAATATACTTCATAAGTCCAATGATTTGGCAGAAAAAGAGACGGGGTTTCCTCGATTACAAGGACAATTTTCTAGATTCTCATCTGTTGATTCATTTAATCGGATTGAAGACAGAAGTTCCAAGCACAGCATGAAAGTAGAGCTGAATGATAGCCGTGTCTTCCCCCTTGCAGATGGAAATATTCAGAGGGGAAGCAGTTCTTTGTCAAAAGCACCAACTTCTCTGTCTGGCGCTTCAAGGAATTTTCTTTCTGTGTCTCTTCCTAGTACCAGAGTGGTTTCTCGGGCCACGTCTCCGGTGTCAGCAAAGGCAAGGCCACCTCAGTCTGCAACACCAACACCTTCCTCAACTGCTTCTACTTCCAAAGTGAATGATTCAAAGCGTAACGATGAAAATCTAAGCCAGGAGGTCTTATATTTAAAGGCACAGGTACGCCCCCCTCAAGAAGCAACTTAACTCACTGCATGCATACATGGGTAGTCTATCTTTATCCTCATAGCCAGACATTTGCCAAAAAAATAATTCCTGATTGATATGCTGATTAAATACTGCATCAAAGGGATGCAGTCTCTAGTGACTTTGTCTTTGCTTTTTCTTGCATACATCTGCAGTCTTTCTTTGTATCCTAATTGCCAGGGATTTTTTAAAACAAGATTGATATGCCTTTCAAATGCTTCAGCAAAGATATGCATTCGAATCTCTTGTGACTCGATGCCTGTTTCTTGTTCCTTCTAGGAGCATGCTCCTTCCCCATATGGGTGATCCACCCAGTTGGATTGGGAGATACAGTTCATTTTTTGTGATGCTTTGTGAATGGCTGTATTGACTTCCCAAAAAACTTGTTTGTTTTCCGTTTGGTGTTCACAAGAATCTTGATTGTTCACTGAATTAATGATTCCTAGATCTCAATACATTTTAAAGTTCACTGAGTTCTAAAGTATTTCCATCAAAACTGGGAAAACATGTTTATGTTTGTAAATATCAGTCACCTCAGTGGTCATTGAGTAAGAAAACAGGAGAATTTGACACCTGAATGTGTCTGAATTTTACATATTTTTGGTAAATTATGCTAGAATTAATTTTTTTTTAACTGCCTAGTATTTTTTTTTCTTTTCCCTAAAAACTTGTGTCTCACATGGAATTCAATTGGCGGAAAGTAATCGGTAAAAGTAAACTGGAATCCATTAGATGCCATATGAAACTCAATGAGTTCTAAAATTGCAAATTCTTTTTTTGTATCATCCACCTGAGTATTGGTCTTCATCAAGTCTATGCAACATGGCTTCTTTCTTTATATTTTTGTGTAATCTTTCTTTATAACTGACCTTAGATTGTAGTTTATTTAATGTTTCAAGCCAGTTTTTTTCTCTTACCAAATTTGATTTTTTTGAAAAGAAAAAAAAGTTAAAGTCCCTTCCCATTTTAATAAAATGGCATCTTTTGGTCCTTTGTGCATACACAGAAAATCTTTTTGGTTTGTTTTGCACCTCTAAGTAAAAGTCAACTTGATATATAATGTATCAATTGCCATTGAAGTTGTTTGAAACAAAATGGTCTTGAATTCTTCTTCTTCTTATCCTCCCCTAGTACACGTAACAACTTCCATATGAGAACTAGCACTAGACTTCTTCCTTCTTCTCCTCTCTGCATTACATATAACAACTTTCACATGAAAATTAGCACTAGACTTCTTCCCCCCTCTCTACTTTTCCTCTCCCCTTTTGTTGGTTCTTCCGCACCAGATTTTCATTATATTTAAAGGAAGCCTACTATTACAATAAATGAATATAGAAAGGAGAGGCACTTTCCCTGTGCTTGCTGGTTGATGCCCATTGCTGGGTATAAATGTAGCATGTTGTCTTGCAATTGCAATGTTAATTAAAGGAGCTTTGCATATCCATGTGGATAATCAGTTCCTAGAGAATTTGATTAAATTCTGTGATGATCTAACACAACCTACTTTACGATGGATACATAATTACATATCGTGCAATGTCTAAACAGGTCGCTAATGGGATACTATTTGATATAATGCAAAAGCTTGGGCTATCAAGTGTGAAATGCAGGCTCGAATCTAATGGTAGCCCCCTCACAGGAAAAGCTAATGTTTTATAAACCATCCATGATCCACCCTCCAGCAATGCTGGTTGGTGGGACTACCACTGGTAGTGGCTTTTAGAGCCAAATAAATGGCTGTCCCCGTTAAACTCCAATTGCATGCCACAAATCTTCTCCACTCACTGTAGTAAATTTTCTATTATGGATCGAAGTGATGGAAACTGCTTAGCAGGATTTGGCTTCACATTTGTAGGTAGAGGAGCTTGCTAGCAAATCCCAACTTCTTGAAGCTGAGCTGGAAAGAAAATCAAGGCAATTGAAGGAGGTTACTGCATTGGCAGCAGAAGAAGCTGAAAAATGTAGAGCTGCTAAGGAAGCGATTAAGTCTCTAACTACGCAGGTGATTCTATGTTCAGGAATTTTATTGAAATTTATCGTCTGGATGATTGCAGTAGTAAAGTTCTGATATTCTATTGCAAACAAGAAAGTTAATTACCTACATCGCTTTGCCTAATAGACTTTAGGCGACATATCCTTTTGCCAGTAAGTAGAAATGGTCTTTCCCTGAACAAATACAGTAGATGCGAAAAAATTACTCAAAGAACTGAGGCAAAACAAATACTCTCTTTTTCTTTGGTTGACTCACTTGGGACCCATACTTGATTGAGCTCAGTGTTGCAATATATACCTTGCTGAATATATCATGCATGCCAGTTGACAAGTATTGATACCTACTAACAATGTACTCTTATTTACCATGAACACAAAAATGTGGGCTTAATATATACTAACCAGCCGGCATCAACAAGTGTCAGTAAAGCATTTGAGAGCTTTAAAATGTGAGACAATCTGGTGATAGTACTCATCAGGACACTAGGAGTATTAAGTTGCTAATTATGTTGTAGAGATATACCCTGCAGTGACCCCTTAACCATAAGTTTGTGTACAGCTAACTTTTCGGTTAGTCAATAGGTGTTGCTTATGATATTGCTTCAATTAGAAGTCATGTATTTGAATTCCGAGAAGTCATGGATATCACAGTAGTACAAAACACGAGATTGCAAGTTTTGTGTGAGTAATTCATTATAATGATGAATAAAAGCTCCAAAGGCAAAATCAAAAATGAATTAACGAGAAATCAAATAGAGTCCATGGGATTGTTGGTGTCGGATGCTTGGTAGACAGACTGATGCAAATTCTGTGGCATACATCTAGATGCTCCTGCATACTGTGGCATGCACTTAAATGCTTAATGAGATGGTATTCACCTCTCTGTAGCTTTTCCTTTCTAGATGACAAACTCTCTAAAGGGATCCTATGGTAGCTGTGCCAAACATATTCCACTTGTCTCTTAACTTTGCTAGGATGGAAGAATAAGGCTTGAGAGCAATCTTTCTTCAGGACAGAATGGGGTGTAAACACGTTTCGTTTGCATGAATGCACAGGTTTTGTAACCACACATGCTTGTACACATTTCTTGTACACATTAATGCTTTGTCCAGCATCATGATGGAGTATATTATACTATTACTGAGTTATAGTTCTCTACAAGATTATCCATTGCATCTGATTTCACAATGCCGTATCGAGTGGAATGCAACTCTTTACATTTGGCAAACAAGTGGAATGCATTTGTTTTGAGTTGGTGAGCAACATGAGAAATGCTCCAGAAGTAAAGTTCCTATATCAAGAAATGACAGCCTAATCTGCATAACCATGCTGTATCATCTTGAGGGGAAATTATCGGTGGTTCATTATAGACTTATTTAGAGCAGCTTCTTCTGATTGACTTTCGGGAAATTATATAATGTTGTCAGCATATATAGAGGATGCGTTTTCATTTAATTGGTTGAATTCTAGGTTTTGTAGGAAAATTGAATTATGATGATGCAATGCTGTATATTTTCCTTTCCCAGTTTCCGGTTTCCTTGTTGCGGGGGTACGTATAGCACGTCTTTTTATTTATCTGGTCGATTAAATTCTAGTCTTGGCAGGAAAATCGACCTGTGAAGATGCAATAATGTGTATTTACTTGTGGATGGACATTCAATATCCATGCTCTTTCCTGTCTGAATATGATTTTTCCTTAGTCATGATTGTGCTCAAAGTTGTAGGAGTAATAGCAGTTGGAATATCTTTTTTATGGTCATGGTGCACTTAATTCTCTTGATTAAATTGCTTATAGCTTTGGTATTGAGTTAATTTGACAAAGCCCTGTCTATATGAGGTCAGCTACACTTGAATCTATTTATGGCATTTTGCTTTATCTAGGAGCACGGCTTTAGTCAAACCATATATGATACCATTGTTTCCATTGTAACTTAAATTCATGTTACATGTGGTTTTGCCTGAAACTTCCTCTGTTCTCAAACTTCCCTGAAAATAAAATACTGTTGAGGTCATCTATTGGAATCCCATTCAGAGTGTACCATAAGAAAGTACTAAAAATCAGGGATCATTCATGCGGATGCTACGGGGAAAGAAAATAGTTGAGGTAAATTAGACTATCGGCTTAAAATTGCCATAATGTATCATCGATGCAGATGTTTCACAGAATAATGGTGATTCTCATTATACCATGCTTCATTCTCTATACTTATTAAATGCCAAGTAGTAGGCATATATCTGGCAGTAATTACCGTAGTCATTCTTTCAAGCTTGCTGAAGCTGTTCACAACTGGTGTAGACTACCAATTAAAGATTTCCTGTCCTCAGATGATAAGCTCAGGTTCCACGTATAGCAATCAGATCACTGAAAAATTACGAAACTTTTCAAACACAAACAATACTACCTTTTTTTTTTTTGGGGGGGGGGGGGAGGGGGAGGGGAAGGGGGAGGAGGGACCTGAACCCTTAACCTCAAGAAGACAAAACATTTACAAGATAAGGAGTACCATTGGACCAAAGACCCATTGGTACAAACAATATTACCGGGCATAACAAAAAAGTTCCATGACAGTCTATTTTTGTCTGCGATTTGTCCACTACAAATATTCCTTCTTTCTATTGATTGCCAGTAGCAAATTCTATCAAACTCTGATGGATGGTGATAAACAGTCTCAAATGGTATATAATTTCTCTTGGTGGGGAGGCACTTAATAGTTGGTTATTCCTTTTGTGTGTCCAAGTGTGTGCATGTGTTTCTCCTCCCCAGTTCTTTTACTTGTGGTCATGTTAACCAATACATCTTGTAATTGGTATGGATGGTCTAATGTTCTGACAGTTGAAGGAGATGGCTGAAAGAGTGCCAGAGGGGCATATTCCCAGCAGCCAATTAGATGCTATTGCTGAACAAACGCTCAATGATTCAAGCTGCACCTCTAATGGGAGTAGCGTGACAAGCCTGGCCTCTCCGAAAAGCGAGTGCAGTGATCATTCAGCTAATGCAGGATTATCTAATGGAACCAAGGCCCAAACCAGGAAGGCAGAGAATGTGATACAAGATGAACCAGGCGTGTACATAACTCTTTCTTCCTTACCAGGGGGTGGAAATGAACTTAGACGAGTTCGATTCAGGTATTCATTTATTACCTTTCTTTTTTTTTTGGCGTGGAGTCCATTAGGAGCTTATATAACAACACCAGATTCATTTTTTTCAGCTTCAACCACATTTTTTCATCCCTCCTAAGTTTTTGCAGTACCACCAACAGAAGCAGATCACATTATTTTTTATTTATCCCACACAAAACCAACTCACATCTCCTTGATTTCCGGTTTCTGCTTCCATTTTCTCACAGATGCTTGCAATTCTAGTCCTCCTGTACCCCATCTTGCCTGTCATGTGTCTCTGTTTGATGTCATCTGCAGTCATTTAAATCGAGAATGCATTATGAAGTGAATGTTTTGAGGCTTTCTTTATGTAGGTCATTGATTTTTATAGTATACAGATACTTGATCTTGCCAAAAGGCTGCGAATGACATTATAGTATACAGATACATGGATCGCTTGCAACTACTCTCTAAGGATACAAGTACAATAACAAGAAACCTCAAACACGCAAAACTCACATTTTGTGCCATAACTGGTACCCTTATAAATAGGAAAAATTATCCTTGGAAAGTTTTTGCATTGATGTTGCTGATGTCTAGTCGATCTACTACCACCTTTGAACATAGTCCCTCCTTCCCGAGTAAAGCTTCCATTGCAATAAGAATATTAAAGCATCCTTCCTTCCACTGGGGCTACTTTTCTCAGAAAAGGGTTCATACTTTGTACAGAGTTGTTTAAAAGGACAACTGGTATGGTTACAGACCATGTTTCAATTTGCTTTTAATGTGGATGAAGCTCTGTCTTCTGAAATAACTCTCGTTTAAGAATGACAATGTGTCTACATAAAGGGTATGAAGAAAGAGCTGCTCTGTCACGCTACATGAAGCAGTTTGATTCTGAAGCTATCAAAGGAATTCCAGTTTTGTTGTTCTAGTTGTCCTCTTTCATCCTTACATTATAAATTTTGTTGAACCATTGCATACATGCGCACAAGGCTGTATCTATAACCAAAAAGGCTGCATCCATCTGTATATATCATTGAAAAATACTTGGTGGTACACGTGTACTTATATTGTTTATGTATTTATATGCACACCTGTGATGGATATAAAACGATTACATCAAAACTCCATAGTCGTTTATATGCACACGTGTGATGGGATATAAAACGATTACATCAAAACTTCATAGTCGTTTACAGCAATTCCTTTTCCTATGCTCTGCACCAACATCCGCTCCATAGTAGCCCAAAACCAAAATTCTTGGATTCACTTTGTACTGCATGATTCTGTAGTCTGTTGACTGTTGGTAATGGTGTGTGTGGTAGCCTCTGTTGAATTATTGAGTTGGTTAACTTTGCTATTGAAGTTGTGGTACTTTTTACAGTCGGAAACGTTTTACCGAGGAACAGGCAGAAACTTGGTGGGCTGCAAATGGGACCAAAGTATGTGAACGTCACAATATACGTACTTCAGAGTAATATGCAGCCGGCACTCCATTGATTCTGCTGGACAAAAAGAGAGCCTGGCTTGTCTCTTGTTTACTTTCATCTTCTTCGTTGCTAGTGCCTGTAAAGTTTTTTGCTCATTTGGTGGAGTTCAACCCTAACGATCCTAGATGATTCACTCACAGGTAGGCTGGTAGGTAAGAAAAGAACGTAGAACAGAATGTAAACACGAGGAAGAAATGGAGAAACAAGTTTAAACATGTAAAAATGTTTCTCAGCTCATATTGGGTTTGTGCATCTTTATTTTCAACATTTTTTCCACTATGCATTTCTACTTCGACAAAAGTAAAAGTTTTCAGCTGATGTGCCTGGATCGCCCTCCAAACAAAACAACCTGATCTATGTGGGCCAGAAGCCAAAAAAAGTTCGCTTGATCACATTGATCGTTTTGCTTGTCTTTTGATGAAGTTTGATAGGTTAACCTGGGAACCCTCACATTATCTGTAAAAAATATTGAACGCATTTCAAACCAGTTGAATGTTGACAGAGAGACCTACCTTAGGCTTCAAGACATACCTTGGAACCATTCTCTTAAAACAGCTCTTGGCCCCAGCCACCAGTCTCCCCTATGTCTGCAAGCATCCAACATGACCAAGAAATGTGACTTCATTTGGTCTAATATAATGAGTTTCACTAGTTCGAGTGTCATTAATTGCAGTAAAATTATTGACTCTTGTAGCAGGTCAGTTTTACCATCATCCAACCACAAACCAGTTCCATAAAATATCTTTTACATGAACGTAATTAAAGTCCTGCATTGATAAAACAAGATTTCCCATACATGGCAATCAAAGCAGCGACCACATTCAAGTCCAAGCAAAATCCAATTTTGATGTAGTACTAATGCACAGATTCTCCTCTCAAAACCTTGCCTGCTTCACTAACAGCTGACAAAGCACTGAATGAAACCCATAACAAATAACAACCAAATGAACCCCAAGGCCGGTCCAAAAAGGCAATACAACTTAATAAGGAAAACTGGTCTAGGTAATCGAATTTAATTTAAAAAAATATTGTTTGACAAACACCTCATATTGATAAAGCCTGTACACAACTGTTTCATAGAGAACTTTTCAAAAACAGACCAATTAATTGGTCCTGATTAGAGCAATTGAGGGGGGAGGAGAAAACTTTTTACACTATCTCTTAATTCCTGAGGCCAGAAATTGGTAGTGCTGCAGACTGATATAATAGCATTCAACATTTCCAGAATAGTTAAGTTCAATACACGACAGACTACCTCCCTTTATAGGAGGTGCGACTAATGGCAATTGGTGTCTTCTCCTCCTTAAAAGGTTGGGTTACTGCATCAGATAGACTAGGTAACCTTGACACGCTACCCTTTCCTTTCTTCGCATTTGGTCCCAACTCCTCTATCATGTACTTCCACCCATCAATAGGTCTCCTTCGGCTGAATATGTGAGTTTTAATAAAACTTGCTATCTGCAAGCCAATATTTTAGAGAGTAAGAAAGAAGGCTCACAGTGACACAGGTCAAGCAAAAGTGAAGAGAGATCATAGTTAAGATATTAATTAATTGTCAGGAGACCCAAAAATATCCCAATATACAGTTCTCAAAGTTACTGTCACTGTGCACATTTGGTCTATATTTTTCAAGTGAATACTATATCGCACAAAAATGATATGGCTGAAAAGAGTGAAGGTATTTAATTGGAAGAAATGGCATAACAAGAATGACTATTTCAAAAATTACAGAATCGAATGGCAATATTGATAATTTTTGACCTATTCTACACTAATCAGGGATGCTTGTGATCCGCAATCTGGATAGTTCTTATACGTACATTCCCACTGAATTACTGCCAAAATCCAACTGGAAAAATACGAATAAGACTAAAGGGGCTAGATTAGACACATGGCTGAAACTAGACCCACAATTTTAGGGAATAGGATCAAGAGGAAACTATAGGGTGATATGTATCAAGAGGAAATAGGATCATTCAGAGAATACAAGCACTACTAGCATCTTATACCGACCAAACGCCTCCCAGTGACAAACAACCAAATGTGTGGGTGCACTTGTCAGTGTATTCACGCATGACAGTGATCATGATCATGGTATTAACAAACCTGGAATTTGCTGAACGCAATTCGGCGTTCAAATTCTTGGAGCAGGATATCTTCTTCCCTTTGTGACATCTCCCAGACGTTCCCATCCTGAGATTTCGATGTCGTTTCCCAACCATCGGGCTTACTCTTTAACTCGGAAGAACTTGAGATCTTTGCATCGTTTAAATAATTGTTAGCAGAGTCAAAAATCCTGCATGCATTAAATCCAACCCATTAACAAGGGACCCAATAAGTCCTACTTTAAACTTTCTGTGCTTAAATGGTAATAATAATTAATACAATCGCGATGGTATGGCAGTAACTTTGCACAGTCAAGAATGTAGCATCAAAGAGCACTGAAAGAATAGTAAAACTTCCAGTAGTTTTCAATGAAGTCGTTCCTTTAACTAGCAGAAGTTTAACACAAGTCTCTTTACCCTAACAAACAATCAGTTGGTTACAAATAAGGGGATGCAAACATATCCTCTGCAAGCTGAATACATATGCATACACAACTGATTCTTTGATAGCCATGTTGGGAACCTTTCAAATGCAAATTAACAGAAACTGAACCTCTAATCAGAGAAAGGCTCCACCAAAGAATGTAACATATCATCAGACATCTCACTGGGGCTATGAGATGTCTGATCTCTATAGCATTAATTTCCTTCTTCAGGCAAACAATTTAGAGATTTGAGTAAATACACATTCTTTTCTAAGCATTTTCATTCAAGATTTCACGTATAAGATCAATTATATTCGTTTCTAGTGTCAATTTGGTGCTAAGACGAACTTTGTAAATGGCCTTCTCTCCAAGACAGATGGATCAGGTAAAAAACCATAACATTGAATACATGTTTGTCACAATTCAGTTGACAAAGAGACTCAGAAAATGCAACAATACTACATCACATATGAAAGAGCTGATTTTAGTGCTCGACTTTGTAATTTTTGCCTGTTCATGAATTACTACCCAAAAATGCTTTATTAAATCACCATAGCAAACCACACTGACAGAATTCACACCAAACCCAAGTCACAAACACTACCCAAAAACATGAGATCGGCAATATTTATGTATGAGCAATGCATAACTATAACCATAGAAGGGCATAAATGAATTCATACTCAGAGCAGCTATCAAGCAATTTATCAATGTCATCCCCGCCATTGCCAATAACAGAATCCCCAAACTTAGCCTCCTCCTGCTTCTCAATCTCCTTCATCCACAACCCAGCATGAATTCTCTGCTTCTTCACCCTATAGTCCCTCTTCACATTTTCCAAACTATACAGCGAACTATTACCATCCTTCTTCACCATCTCATTTTGCTCTTGTTGTGACTTAGTTCCTTTGTTTCTTCTCTGATCCCAATTGTCATTCATGTCTTCGACGAACGCCTTGGTTTCCGCGTCGGCGTCGATTGGGAGAACCAATGATTCGGAGGCACTGTTTGTGATATCGGAGAGTGCGAAATTGACATCAGTCTCCCAAGAAGCTCGGTTTTTGGCTGAGAGGTCTTCGGGGAGCCACGCGGTTTCCCATGCGTCGTTCCATTCGTCGACGCCGCCGCCGCTTTTCTTTATGGTGGTGGATTTTGTGGAGAATAGTCTGAGATTGGCGGTGGCGGTAAGATTGAGAGGGGTTTTCCGTATAACAGATGTGAGTTTATGGATTGAATTCATCATTTTGGAGATTGTTTTTACTCACGAACTTGTACCCAAAGGCATACTATGTGAGTAAATATTGGACGCGGGTCCTCTGCTGTTCGGAGGCAACAGTACAGTGTGCTGTTAGCCAAAAACGCCGCCGTTTTGGTAGCTTCACATAGTATCACGTTGTCGTTTTGATAGCTTCGCATAGCACCACGCCGTCAAAAAGAGAGGGATTGTTTGGGCAAAATACATTTTGGTCTCCAAATTATATGCGTTAAGTCAATTGGGCCCCTAATAGTTTAATTATGTCAATTTGATCCTTCAAAGATTCAATTTGCGTCACTTTTGTCTAATCGAAAACTAAAGTTAAATCGGTATCTCATGTGACCACATATTTTAGACATAAAATCAGATATTATAGACATGTAATAGACTAAAAGAACGCATATTATAGACATAAAAGATTAAAATGATACACATTATAAATTTGAAGGACTAAAGAGATCCTTTAAGTGTAGTCATGACTCACCTGACACACGGATGAACACCTCCGTTAGTCAACCCATTTTCAATTGGACAAAAATTACACAAATTAAAAATTTTAAAGAACTAAATTGATACAATTAAGAGATTCAGGATCAAAGTGAAACAAAGTGGTTAATTTAGGGACTATTAACTATATTTTACCCAACAGACTTAAGGGATTAGGCAACGGGCTGGGCCTATCTGGCCCTCCAGTCAGTTGGGTCGTGGCCCAGATAGTCAAGCCTCCAACTAGTCCTACAGATCGGATATCTACCGGAGTTCGTTTTCCCAATTCATAATCCATTATATACCAAAGGTTCGATCCGAAAACATGATCCAATTAAAATAACTTAATTGAACTAAATTTGAGTAAATTACATCTCAAGTTTAACTTAATTATCATTAAATAATAGCTTAAATAATATATTTATGTGCTAATTTGGGTTGAATTATAATCAAAACAGATTTTTTTTATATTTAATTTCTTAAAATATGACATACCTAATTCTTATTCTAATTCAAATAATTGATACAAAAAAATACTAATTCATATCTGAGTATTTACATTTAAATTTGAATTTGATGGTGGTCGAAATCGACTGGACTGGGCTGCAGAACAGACTTGGGAGAAATCCAACAAGTGTGTGTGAGTATAAAAAAATGTGAGTGCGTACGCTGTGGGTATGATGCCTGGAGAAATCAATGATATGAATGACTTGCCTTAACCGAAAGACTAATGTTACGTCTACTGTAAGAGAGACTCTTGCTCCTTGGGTGATTGTATTACTTGGGAGAAGAAGATTGTTGTTACAGGGTGTTTGGCTTGAAGCCTTTTACAGGATATTGTCAAAGTTTTACTTGAAGGTTTTTTCGAATGCCCTCCCCCTGCATTGTAGCCTTGTTGGCTATATATATAATTGGTAGTTACGGTTTCGTGTTTGTCTTTTATGGCTGATTCTGTGGTCCCTTTTGCGTTTGTCTCTGTGCTAAGGCAATGGTCCCTAGTCCCTTTCTGCATTCATTACTCGCCGACTGTAGTACTTGATCTATCTCCTCTACACGTGGGCTTTTTTTATTAGATCCATCAAGTAATGTTCCCTTATCTTCTGTCCACGTGTCATACTATAGCTTTTGCAAATTGACCTTGTGCTATGCTCCCGTCTCCTGAGTTGGTAATTGTACTAAGCTTGTTAATATCGAGCTTCCCTGGAACTAGGCTGTAGCCCAGTTCAATCCCAAGGAATATTGTCTGAATGAGCTGCTTGGGCCACTTTCTGCAAGCCTAAAGGGTCTTAGGATCTAAAGGGGTCAAGACTTAAACCAATCATTATTAGTTGCCTCCCAGCCCTAGGTCGGAAGGATGACATTTCAGCTCCATCTTGGGGTTAGATTCAAATTTTCCACCGCAATGGTTACTCCACCGGATGACGGTTCCTTATGATTGCTAACGTTGTTTCAACAGTAGGTTCAGTCCCCCTATACTTGCTCCGATTTGAAAAACATGTCAGGAAAGTACACGTGTCGTAGGGAGAGGGCTTCCTTAGTACGATTCTTTCCCACGTCTAATCTTGGCAATAAATAATACAAAAAGGGAGAATGCCTTTCATATTTCCTTTGTTATTTTGAATGTCTAACTTTTCGCGCTTCTTTCCTCCTCTTCAGACTCAAAGGCAGTTACCTTATTCCTCCGGTGATTCTGAGAACTCTGTGCTTTCGTTCTTCTGCGAAGTGGTCTTAGCTATGCATTAGGTACTTATCCGTTCTCTTTCCTTCACTCTGGATCCCTTTAACCCCAACTGGGGGGGGGGGGCATGGGTTCTTTTTCATTATTTTGAGGTTTAGTTATTTTAGGCGTCATTCTGGCAATTTTGCCTTTCTTTCGTGGTTTGTTGATTACCCCTCCAATTGAGTCTGACCTTGATCCGATCTTGGTGTTTATTCCCTCTATTTTTGATGGATTATGCTTTGAATATGCATTCTTTACATTTTGGGCTGTGATTTAAAGTCCCAATGGGGAGATTCATATCTAATACTTCTTCTAAATTTGTGCCTGGAAAGGAAAGTAATGAGAGCATTGAGGAGGTTTTGGCTTCCCATAGTAGCGATTGTGTTGAAGAGGCTTTGTCTCCCCCTGGTAGTGAGGAGCCCTCTATCGATGACACTCTACCAGTTAGGGGCGACCAATTTTTGTTGGTTTTAGCGGAGAAGTTTGAGTTTCGTTCTAGGGTGTCAGATTTAGAGAATCCTAGATCGGTTCTCATGGCTTCTACTTTTGGTTGTTCTGACGAGCCTCCATTAGCTTTGCCCCTCGTTGTCCCGAGTCGTGTGAAGAAGAGGGGGTCCAAAAGGGCTCTAGTTTCCCCTGACCCTAAAAAAAAAAGATCCGTTGAGACCTTTCTAACCTCATTTGTTGTGCTAAGTCCACCCCGAGTTGTATCGACGAGGATGACTTAGAGGCCTTGAGGGACGAATACTTCTTTCCTGCTCCTATCTTGCTTCATTCTCCCGAGGAGGACGAGAGGTGCAATGCATTTATTCCTGGGATGACCTATTTTTTACTTTGGCGTTTTGAGTTGACCTTAGGTAGCATGTTCATCCCTTCATTCGAGACGTTCTTACCTTCGACAATGTATGTCCAGCTTGGGTTTCCCCTAATGGTTGAGGCCTGTTGGTTGGTCTTCTTGTCCATTAGCAGGAGAGTGGGAACACTTCTTCATCCATCATTCATGAGTTTGCTCACCTTTTCCAACTCAAATCTTCCCCTTCTTTGGGGTTTTTCTATTTCGCTAAGAGATTTAAGGTGAAGAGTCTAATTTTTGGGCTTCTTTCCTCAACATGGAGTGCAAACCAAAGTTCTTCTTTGTTCGGGGTGACTTCTGGGAGTTGTCAAGAGCGCTTGGTGATATTCCTCGTGTTCCTAGATCTTGGGGGTCCCAAGAAACACACGTAAGAATGTCCCTTGAAGATTTTCTGTTAAATATGTTCTTTGTTATGGTTCTGACCTGTCCCTTATCTTACTTGCACGTTTCACCCTTCTTTGGACACTGCAGAGACTAGGAGAGTGGCCCTGGCTGAAGCGTACGAACTTAAGCCTTTTTCAACTCTGGTCACCAAGGAGAAGCTTGTTGAGTACATGTTTGGACCCCTTGTGGAGATATTTCCTGTTCAAACCACCACTATGGAGACATTGCCTGATTAGACTATCGACTAGATGGATTTGAGACTCATAATGGTGAGATTTACTGACAAGAGGAAGATAAAAAAGAAGTTGGTGAAAACTTCCAAGCTCCGTTCTCCTAAGAAGTAGAAGTTGGCATTCGCTCCCTCGAGGCATGAATGGGAAGACTTGATCTCCCCTAAGAGCATCTTTGCCCCCTCTTCGCCACCCAAGTTGAATCCTAAGAATGGGCCCGATATTGCTGGAGCTGAGCTTGACGAGATTGCTTTAGCTCCTTTTCTAATGATGCTCCCCCGAAAGATTAGAGACTACAAAAGATCCTTTTGAAGTGGATATAAGGGGTAGTGGGTTCTTTCGAGATCTTGTAGTGGCTGTGGACGTTCTGGCTGACTGGGTTCCTACAATAGGCCCTAAGGAAGTTGTGAAGATTAGCTTTGAGAGGAAGACCAAGCATTCCGTCTAGGGTTTTGGTTGAGGTATTATGTCATTTTCTTGCTCCCTTGGGTACGACATTTAGGCTTTCTCTTTTTTTTTTTCTTTTATAGTATGCATCTTTGCTGCTAGGCCTTAGCATGTATCAAGGTGATGGAATCCACCACCAGCACGTGTTGAGTGTGCTAGCCAGTCAGTCCTCTAGGTAGGTTCCCCTTCGCTTTGAACTTGAGAAGGTCCAGCTTGTTAACCGGTAGCTAAGAAAGGACCTTGCTGCTAAGAAACACGAGTTGGGAGGAGCACGGGATGTTGTGGATGCAGATGTGGCTAAGGTAGGGAGAGGCCTATCCAAGGAGAAGAACACTATCCTTATCACCGAGCTGGTAGAGATGAAAAGGCCAATGCTGAGCTAGATAATCGTCTTTAGGAAGCTGACGATTCCATCAAGAGGAAAAATGTCGAATTGAAGGCGAAGGAGTATGAGATGAAGGTGAAGGAGGAGGAGTTGAAGGCATAGGTGGACGAATTAAAAGCTAGATATGTGAGGATTGCAAAGTTCCTTGAGGTGAATGCCCCCGCCTTTGTGCAAGGGTTCATGATCTTTCAAGAGTAAGTTGAGAGGTCATACCTCGACTTGGATCTGGACTCCTTTGTGCTGAAGTTGGAGGTGTCAAAACTTAAGGAGCCTGCAGAAGGGTCCGGACTGAGCAGATTGATGAGGTAGATTGCCTTAAGCCCATTGCATAGTTCTTATTCATAAGTTGTAGGATTTCATGGTGATTTGTAATCGGATATTCATAGTTTTGGCTTATAGCTAAATTTTTGTAACTTCAACTTTAGTCCCTATTTTTAATGCCCTTTTCCCATTGTTCTTTCATTTTGAATGGCTTTTGTGTGCTTGCTTATTTGATTCCTCTCTCTTTCCCCTCGTTTTGTTG